TCTAATATTAAAGTTTATAATTACCTATAAGTTACTATCTCTAATATTAAAGTTTATAATTAACTATAAGTCTATTCTTAATATTAAAGTTTATAATTACCTATAAGTTACTATCCCTAACGTTAAAGTTTATAATTAACTATAAGTCTATCTCTAATATTAAAGTTTATAATTACCTATAAGTTACTATCTCTAATATTAAAGTTTATAAGTTACTATAAATTACTATCCTAAACGTAAAGTTGTAATTAACTATAAATTATTATATCTAATATTAAAGTTTATAATTTACTGTAAATTACTATCCTAAATACTAAAGTTATAATAAGCTATAAATTACTATCTTAAGCCTTAAAGTTAAGATTATCTATAAATTACTATCCTAAAGTTAAAATTACTATAGTACTATTATTTAAAACTACCTTAATAGTTTAAATACTATAATATTTCTATACAGAAATAGCTAACTATACTATAAGCTAGAAGCTCTTACCTAGTAGAGGTAATAAGCTCCTTAGGTTATAGAATTTAAAGATTTCTTTAAGTAGAGGATTTAAGTTCTCTAAGCTATATAGCTAGAAGGTCTGTTAAGTAAAGGCACTAAGGCCCTTAGGTTATAGTATTTAAAGATTTCTTTAAAGAGAGAAGTCTAGCTCTCTATATTATAAAGTTTAAACTACTATTAAGGAGTAGTACTAAGCTTCTTCTATTATAAAACTTATAAATTCCTTTAGGCAGAGGAGTTAAGCTTATTATATCTAGCTATTATAAGTAAACCTTATTATAAAAGTTATTAAGTTAAAGCTATAAGCTGTAGATTATAGTATATATCTATAAAGCGTAGTAAGTTATAGTAATAAACTATAAATTACTATAAATAATAGTTTAGTACTAATAAATAGAGTAAAATATATACTATACTTCTAAAAAGATCTTAGAATATAATTTAACCTTACTCTTCTTACTATCTATACCTACTATAAATAAGCTGTAAGGTAATTAATAAACCTAAAGAAAACTATAGTAGTAGCCTACTATATACAGTAGTAAATAAACCTATAACGTAGTAAACTAAGGTATAATAAAGTACTACTCTTCTTCTTCTTTAGTATTATACCTTACTTCTTTAATATATTATCTTTTTTAATAATACTAGCACTAGTACCTTTAATAAGGTAACCTAGCTATAATCTTCCTAATATTATCTTTAAGTTAATCTACCTTATATTACTGTATAGGTAATATAAATATAAATAGAAAGAATACTCTTATTTCTACTATAGCTACAGCAGTAGTAGAAAACCTTAGCTACTATAGTAGTAGAAAAACTTAGCTATAGTAGTAATAGAGATAGTAGTAAGTTATAGAAAAGAGTAGTAACTTATAGGAAGTTATAAAGAAGAGTAGTAACTTATAAAGAGTTATAGAGAAGAGTAGTAACTTATAAAGAGTTATAAAGAAGAGTAGTAACTTATAGAAAGTTATTAAGAAGAGTAGTAACTTATAGGAAGTTATAAAGAAGTGTAGTAACCTATAGCAGATTATAGAGAATTATAACTCTATATAATTATTATTCTTAACTAGCTTAATTAAATAGTAATAATATAAAATTACCTAGCACTAGTATAAGGTATTTATATATAACTATAACTCTACCTTAATTTATAGTAAGTTATAGTAAGTTATAGTAAATTCTAGCATATTATA